ATATATATATGACACACATGACACTATCAGTGTTTCATAAAGGCAAAGAAATAACTATGTATTTAGTAACATTAACAACAGGTTGAAGCGGTTGCCGCTACAGTTGCAGGTTGAAGTCATGTTGGTATTAAAAAGCATTGGGATGGTATTAAAATGTATTAAATTTAACTTCAGAATGTCTGTATATATATCCTGTTTTAAAATTCAGTTGAAAATGTCTGGAATAAATGAGCTTGTTTTGCAGCAAAGGCAAAAAAATTCTCTTGTGACATTAAAGTGAAGGTGAAGATATGGTGCTCTCATTTCTGATTTTCAGAAACACTTTTAAAATTTTTACTTTCTGTTGAGCTGTAATTATACAAACAATCAAATATTCTTGTTAGGTACCATGTATTTTTAAGCTCTTAGTTTTAACATAATTTTCAGCACAAGACTAGATGATTCATCCAAATAAGACACGATGAGCAATACTGACAAAGAATAAAGTATTTATATGGAATTTACTAAACAGTGAGTATGTTCATGCATCTTTCTGTTGTTATTGGTCGAATTAGCTGCTCATATGAAATGTTCAAAAGTGTGTGTGTGTGTGTGTGTGTAAATCCAGGTATTTACTGCCCTGCACCCATGTAATGCTGAGTCAGCGCCGTGCCATCAGGGAGACGGACATGTACGGGAAGTCAGCTGACAAGTTCCTGTCGCTGATCCCCGAGTGCTGCCAGATGAATGCTGCGACCTCCGCTGAGCGGGAGGAGGACAATCCATTCTGGAGCAAAGGTGAGCTACAAATAGAATGAGATAAATAAGTTTTATAGGCAATAAAACCATTTACAGAAACTGTTTGACTTTGTCTCACTGTCCTCATTGGCCTTGGTTGCTATCAGTTGAATACAAATGTACAGTGGTGGGCAGCACTAACCGAAAAATTAGCTCCGCACTTTCTAAAGTGCTTATGAAAAWATTTAGATCTGCAACTTCAAAAACACTTATGCCGTGGAAAAAGCACAAGTTCAGTTTGACACTTACTAGCTGGCAACAGTTCATGTACAATATATGTACAACACTGCCAATTAGTGGTGTATGAACCCTTTTACAGCTTAATCCTACAACCRCTGATTGCTGGGGATGTGATTTCCTGAAACAGAACTTTGGCTCCTGGTGTAAAAATTAAAAAGTTGTTGAGGATTGCTAGTTCGGCTACTTCTTTGTCTTTTTCTTTTCTTTGTTGTAGATTTTTCAGTAAAGAAGCATCAATAAAGTAATTTTAAAACTGTTTATTGGAAAACTGAAGCGATGCATTCTGGGTACATGACGGATTTGATTTGTGATAGGAAATGAAAGTTTTCCATCTAGTTGCTCCAGTTGACCACTAGATGTCAGTCTAACCCAGTTGTCAGATTGCTTCGACAAATTACGTCAAGTATTGAGCTCCAGTGTTTAAATTTTTTTTTTTTTTAAAAAGGAGCTCCGA